AAATTATTTTTTTTTTATCTGTATATTGTCGCTCCGGCAAAAAATATTAATAAAGAAGGGGGGTCCTGTGGCCTTCCCATGTTTTATTTTTACGTGATTTTTGCAATGCAATTTGCGATTATTAATTAGTGGAAATAATAGAGTTTTCTTATTAACTTATGCTTTTACAGTCACTATTTGGATTGAATTCTGATATTTATTCCCCAAACATGTAAGACGATATGTTTTTGTATTGACATAATCGCCACTCCCCCATAAACCCTCTATATTATATGATGAACCATGCATATAATCAATTTTATTGCACATGATGCTAAATTATTGTAAAAATTTATAAGGTTAATCAAGATTAAAGGTTTTTCTATTAATAAACTCTCTAAATTTATATATCTTCTTAGGAATAGTAATTTCTGGATTCTCATCATACCATACTTCAAGAAGATAAATCCCATTAAGTTGACACAAGGTTCTTTTCTTTCGATCATGGTCAACAATATCCTCGAGTTTTTTAACATCTTTATACCAACTAGTGCTGTGAAACCGATGCTGTGCTCCTTGTACCTCCAATGCAATTCGATTAATTCGGAAGAAGGCATCAAGTTCTAATCCTCCCATAAACGATGGACGATATTCAACTATGGGTTCCTCATTAAGAAGTATCTGGGTTATTAGAATGCATTTCTCCTGAAATTTACGATTTTTCTTAGACTCTAGTTCCTTTTTAAATTCATCTAAATCCTGTTTTAACTTTATATTCTCGATTTCAACTTCTTCTTTGTCATGCTTTAACTTCGTATTCTCAGTTTTGATTTTGATATTCTCATTTTTCAATTCATCTATTTTCTTTTCTAATTCAGGTACTAAATTGCAGAATATATCACGATAACTCGCTCTATCAATAATAAGAAAGCAAAGATAGAATTGTAATTTCTTTACCAATTCATTGATCTCTTTATCTTCGAATGATCTGGGTTCAAGAAGTCGTTTGAAAATCATTTCTTTAGGGAATGTTCTTATCTCGTTCCAAAGATCTAAAGATCGCCCCGACACCAATTCCAATAAATCAATTGTGGGTTGCATATTTGTCATTGCTTTAATAAAACACGGTTGTATTCAAAAGTTCGTTTATTAGCATAAATAACAAAAGATACATGTTACTTAAACACTTGCCAGAGGCGGTGCCGAATTGTTCCACAATAGATTAGAATAAGTTCGGAATCAAACGAAATATATCTAATCAAGCTTACCATTATTTCATCATCGATATCATTAATCAAATGAACGAGTATATTCCGCAAAGTAATAATAAGGTAGGGTTTGGTTTATTATTCAACTAGTTTCTTTAAACATGTCATCACGATGCTAATCGATTTTCCCTACTCTATAGATGTTCCAAATAAACGGACATATTACTCTTCATGCTATATATCGGCATTTTGATATTCGCCGAGAAAATCTTTGACTATCATCACGCGTATAGTGGGCGCAGTGAATTAAAGTCTGGTGCATTATCACGGAAATATTATCTAATCTAATCGACAACGATCAGAATCATGTGACTTTGAAAGATAAATTACGTATTATAATTGGGTTAGGAGATTTAACTTTTTTGCTAGATGATTTATGACGCGTAAAAATTTTCTTCGTACGTTATAAAAATGTACCTTTTACCTAATTGTATCGACGATTTGAAATACAGTGGTAAGAAATCTGTACTATTATTTCTTTATGACAATGCTTTACAGCGTAACATGTTGTTTGTAAAAATATAGACTTTTGGAAGAACACGGAGGAGCCTTCGCTTAATAAATTCTTGAGTTTCCGATTACACCAAAATAATTTGGAAGAAAGCGAAGTGGAGCATCGTCGGTATAAAGATGAACTGAAGAGTATTAGTAATTACTATGATGAAGAATCTGAAATTGGGAAGAAGGTGTTGATATGGAAACAAAAGTTCAAGGCAAGTATAAATTTATTTGTTGATTTGACACTATGCCATCGCCAACTACCATTGTTGGTTGCTTACTGGCAGGGGAAAGGTTGCTTACTTGTTGGTGTGTTAGTGTATAGTGTATTCGTACTGTGTTGTCATAAACTACCATGCTGGTTGCTTACTGGTAGTGGGAAAGGTTGCTAACTTGTTTGTAGTTAGATTTATGTTATTTCTTACATGCAAGTTAGGATAAAATTAATAAATCGTTATTCTTTTCTTTCTCCTCTTAAAAATGAATATTTATAAGCGCGATAAAAACTCGGCAGAGGTAAAACTTTTCTGGGAATTACAAGTGAAAAAACAAGATATTCTTAAGGAGATCAGATTGCTTGAGGAGAGATGCAAGTTACTTGAAAAGGAGCAAGTATGTTGTCTTTATGATGTTTTCGAAGTTTAGGTGATCTCGTTTATGACAATACTTCCTAATGTCTGCAAATAGACCGAAATGGAGAACAAAATGTGTCTTGAACAGACCCAACATATTTTGCATGCGACGAGAGAGACCGTAGATCAAGGCCTTTCACTACAAAGATCAATTGTAGAAAAATTGAAGAAACGTGTGCTGGATGAGCCGTATGCATCTTGCGAACCACCAAAAAGGAGGTCCAAAGTCACTAATAGTGATATAATCGCAGAATCTCATTCTGAATCTAATGCAGAGACCGACATAACCGAAGATAGTGATATAATCGCAGGATCTCATTCTGAATCTAATGCAAAGACCAACATAACTGAAGATAGTGAAATAATTGCGGGATCTCATTCTGAATCTAATGAAGAGACCGATACAGAAGTGATTAACATAACTGAAGATAATGCAGAAATCGAGAGTCTCACACAGGTATTTGGCATTCGCTATCTTTTACATACGATAATTTTTTTTACTCATACTTTGATCTCTAGAATGAGAGGGATATTCGCAAAAAATTACTTGAAGTTTTGAACACAATCCAAGACAAAGAAAGAAAATCTAAAGAGGACCATATGTCATCAGTATACCTAAATAATATATTGGATTTGTCCGATTTAGAAACACGCAGAAGAGTTGAAAATTCTTTAAATGAAGATCAACACGCATGGCTTAATACGATTCTTAAAAAACAAACTTCAGATCAAACTGAAGCATTTAAACAATATGTTGGACAGTTTAATGAACGTGTATGTAATAGGAAACAAATCCCAACTTTGGTTCGTAAATCTTTTATTTTAGATAGATTCGATTCCTATTATTATGAGGACTACGATATTGCTCACCAAATACTCGAACACTGGTAATTCATATGCATGTTAATATTCGTTTTAGCCAATTTTACATTTTTATTAACCTTTCTGTAAATAGTGCCACACGATTAGAAGCTCATATTAGCTATGAATCAAAAAGTTTTAATTTAGAACGAACATTCGCGATAGACACTGTAATCTATATCTTAAATCGTTTATTCAAGTTTCATCAAGATGTTTTAGACAGTGGGTGGTAAGTATCAATTATAAATTTTAAAGTGTTAGGGGTAGCTTATCAGTTAATTATTTTTTTTGCTTAGGATTGAATTGACTACTCCCCACACAAAAAAACATAAATTTGATGGATTATTTAAAGTAATAAGAACAAACCTGAAGAATCAAGTCATAATTGTCGTTGAATTTTCAAGTGGCAGAAAAGCGTCATTAACTAAAGAACATAATGACCATGTTAAATTATGTCGAAATGCGATGAGGACTTTAAATGCCGTATTACAAACCATACCTAGGGAGAAGGCGCGAATTTACTTGGTACAATTTGTTAGTAAGTATTTGATTAAAGGTTGAATATAAGAAAGCGCAAATTATTTACGTATCTAAAAATATTATTTTTAGACAGCTATCTCAAAATTGAATATATGATCCGTCCCTTACCATCAGTCTATCTTCTTAACTGTTTTATGTGCACCAAAGTGCCCGAGACCTTTGATGATTTCGAAAAATTTTCTAAAGATATGGCTGAACTAATTAATTGGCAGGTATGAACTTATAAATTATTTGGGCTTCCCTTTTATGGTAGCTAATTTTAATTAATATAGGCGGATGTCTTATTCACGACCAAGGAAATCAACAAAATTCCTTACATAGCTGGAAACAATAATGTCTGCACAACCCCATTAGAAGATACACCGAAAAAGGATAAAAAAGTCATAAAGAAGGCCAACGATTCATATCCAGGATCACCATGTCCAGGATCACCGAGCTCGCCATTGATATAAAGATATTTCATTTAGCTTTTATCAGAGTATCCATTGCATGGTATGGAGGGAATATACAGTATAACTGTGAATTTTTATGTATTAACTTTGTATCTTTGCGAACTTGATGTTTGTAATGCGGAAACAAATTTTTTTATATAATACATAATGTGTATTCGTCTGTCTTGTCTAACACATCTATCACGGTTTATGCTGTAATGCTGTAATTTTTTTTTTAAGTTACGGCGCTTTAATTAATTTTGACATATGCCGTAATTATGCTCAATATTATATGTTATCCTGCGATATATCAATTTTTTAAATTCCGAAATATCATCATATTAACTATTATGGATTGAGTAAATTATTCAAACAATACTTACATCTGGAATCTTATCAAAGCCTTCATAAGCTTCTCGAAGAATAGTACAAGACTTGGCGGAGCGACACAAAGCCTTCTCATAAACTAACTTATATCTTTGGAATGTATCGCTCATACATCCATGTCCCACAATTTACGTTAATTGTGTATCCGAACCACGAAGCCAAACGTGCTTTTCTAACTTCATTACAATTATTCTCCAAATACTCCATTGTTATATGAAGTTATTGGATAGATTGTTTAGCTCGAAAAAAAAAGAATTAGAAAATGTGTAAAGAAATCACTAAAAGCGACAAATAACAACAAATTCGAGATACTGCCCTTTTATATATTTTTCTTATCTCTTCCCTGAAACTCGAAATGTTAGATAGGTTAGACAGAAGTAAAAACATGCACTCTTACATCGAAAATTTCTACGATAGAAGTTGAGACATGCAAAGAAATTTCTGAAAAGCACGGCAAAGAATTTTTGTATAGATTATAAATATATGCATCACGAGTTAAAGAGTCATGTAAGGCTAAAATCGTTAAAAAAATAAGACTCGATACTCCGTCGTACATGCATACATTGTGCGCATTTAGACCAGATAAGGTTTCGGTCCTGAGTGAATTCTCCACAAAATGAAGAATAAATGTGGGATGTGAGATGTGGCATGAGTTAATTGACCGACTTTGGTTAGGGACAAATGCTGAAATGGCAGTTTCTAATTGTGCCCCGTCTCACAAATAAGTTATGCATAACGATAAGCCTTCTAAGGTGGTACAGATAAATTCTACATGCGGAATTATTATGCTAATTAATTATCGCATCGCCTAAATTATATATTCCATCGATTAAATTTTTTATATACAAACCCGTAATAAGTGGTATTTGTGTTTGTGACCCGTTTCCAAACAAACTATACAGCGATAAGCCTCATAATGATAAGGTCAAAATTCTATATGTGACATTTCGAATTTATTGCCAATTTAATATATATCGATATTACAGAAAAACGTTAACTTTATTCTGGAGTAGCAAAGCCACGAATTACAATTTACATGAACTTGTGTGTGGGTAGGGTGTTTATAAACTGCAAGAAAATCTAAATTCATGAAAAAAATGTAATATAGAGTGTGACCTCGAGGTCACAGTATCACGTGATAATGGCACAGTAATAGCCGATCATTTTGATTTATTTATAATGCTAAATATTACGTGAGTGATATTTTTCTTACTTAACTTAGAAATTGTTAACGCTGTAAAAGACCTAACTCGTACAATTTTATCTTCACCAATGGCATCAAAAAGTTTGTAAATTTTTCGTTGGAAATTTGATTTCTAACTTCGTCATTTACTAGAATTTTGGCAACTTGCTTTTTGTGAGATTTCTTGTGGTATTCTAGGCGTTTCGTAAGATTTAATCCAAAATTATAATATCTTTTAATAACTTCTTGGTTCGATTTTCTATTATCATCTTCAGCACTAATAAGTTCTTTATATAAGTTGAGAAAATTAACTGGATCGGGATCATTTTCAGTGGTTGGTATCGTTACCGATTCTGTAGAAATATTATTTTTTGCAGAATTCGGATCTTCAGTAGATAATTCATCTATTAATTTTTTTAGATTTGGAGGCTCTTTTTTTGCACTTTCATCACGTAATCTTTTTTTAGATCTAGGCTCTTTATTTTTGGTAAGGTCTACATAATTTGGATACGTTGTTGGGTCATATGATAAGGTAGGGTTAAAAATAAGAGATGTATATGGGGTTACTGTATTCTGGTTTTGACTAGATGTCATTTGTGGTGAAATTTGCATTGGGTCTGAGGTATTCTGTGCCCGATCCTGTGAACTAGGTCCAGAAATACCATAATAACGCGCATAATCAATAGATTCAATTTCCATTGCACATTCAGGGCATTGTGGGAGATCTTTTACATAATCCTCAAGACAACTACGGTGGTATATATGTCCACAGATGAGTATGGTAAATGGTTTTTTAAGTTCGTACAAAAAAAACTCTTCTTTACACTTTGAGCATGGATCTAATTCTAGAACTTCAACACCTTCTGCAATAACCTTCAGGGAGCTGTTTTTAAGGATATTTAAAGCAAGGTTTTTAAGACATGAAACATTTTTAGGCATTGGGTTAGTAGACATATTCAAGAATAAAATTTTTACGGTTGAAAGTTGAATACAGTATAAAGGGTTATAGACAGATAAGTATTGCAGTTAATTATATACTTTGTTCATTTTTATACATTAAGCACTTTCACAACTAACGAAACTAATTTGCAGATTCTATTAAGCTAATTTCAGATTTGGCGATCTGTTCATTCACGAATTATTTAGTATGGGGAGAGATCGCTAGATCTTCGGTAGCAATTGCGAACGATTTTTTAGCTTATGGTTAAGTGCGGTTAGCATATTTGCGAACTCCTCCAAAATTAGATCGGGTTTGGGTCTCAAGTCGGAGGTATTCATAAAATGGCTAGACTTGCATTTCTTCTTTCGAGGACGATTGTGAGAATTGAAGTCAGATGAATTGGTTTCTGTTTCAGAATCAGAAGAATCAAATAGGTTATTTTTACTAGAGCTGGCTTTATTGCTATCCTCGATTAATGGGATACTCATATCATCTATTACAATTTTATCGCGGTGTTCATAGGTTTTGGGAGAAAACCCAAAGATAATTTTTGCTTCACGCATCCTTAACCATTCTTGTCCCAGGACCAAATCGAACGATGGATTTTTGTGAATTTGAAAGTCTATTACTTCAGTGCCATCTAAGCTTCGCCACTTTCCTTTATAGCGGAATTGTAAATCTAAGCATTTTATTTCACCTATTACATCTCTATAGAGATTCTCAGCAGGATCGCAGGTAGGACATATTCCATAATCTTCTTTAAGCTTATTGAACAAGCGTCTGCTAATAGTATTGGATTTAGATGTTGTATCTATTAACGCTTTTACTGGGATTTTTCCTTCGACAAGGTATTTATGAAAATGTTAATATTAAATATATTTAATACTGTATTTTTTTATTGCGTATTAATAAATAATTTAACATAGACAATGACTGAAAATAATAATATTGAATTAGTGCTAAAGCAACAGAGTGTGATTGATTCATGTTCAGAATGTCCAATTATCACTTATGAGATTGCGAAAAAATTGGGTTTCGAAAAAGATAAAAGTTTACCCAACATTACCGATAAAATGGTATCTGATATTGTTAAGCAAGTATCAGGTAAAAAAATCTGGATCTCTCTTCACCGATTACTGGAGATAGTGAAGCCCGAGATTCGACAAGAAATTATAAACTTGATAGCAAACTCAGATATTTCCCGAAGAAATCGTACACCATGTAAGGCTAAAAGAAAAAAGTTAATTTTTAATGATACAGCATCTGAGACAACATCCACATCTGAGTCTGGGTCTAGTTCTGAATCATTTAGTGACGAAGATTTTACTGTGGATGTGGCAAAAGCAAAGAAGCGCGATTAGTAATTAATTTATATCATAGATTCGGAATAGTTTTGCCTATTCAGGTGAAGTATTCCTAGGCCTGTAATTCACTATAACGTAATTTTGTACTGGAGAAGTATGGTTGTCAGGATTGTGACGTAGACATTCTCCAGCAATTGTATAAGCGTGGGCCATATTCTTAGCCTCATGTACTACTACACCATAAACAGCACCTATTTTTCGTAAGTATTTAGGAATTAAATCATAATCTTTTAAGAATCTATTGAACCATTTAGTCACTGGTTTACTGGAGCACCCATTTGACTAGAAGAAATAGCATTCTGTATCCAAGTGAGTAGTTTTTTAGCTCGTTCTTGATTCTTCTCCATAGATCTAAATTTTCTAGGTATATTTGGCTGTCCTCGATTCTTCGCATAACCTACTACTCCAGTATCTGTAATACGTAAAGATGTAAATTCAGCTGGACGAATGCAGAGCATTATCATAACATCTGCGAGAGCTTGTAAATCAGGTAAAGTAGATACATCATAACTATCTAACCTTTTCTTAACTGATTCTAACGTAAAATGATCTGGATAATCAATTCTTTCAAATGCCTCAACAAATTTTTGTCGATTCTGCTGGATTTCATTAGCTTCTCTTGTAATTTCAGGAAATTTTGTAGCATCGATTATCTCAAATGAAACACCAAGATTTCTCAATTCTTTTCTAAGCCGTAAAAGACGTGATGAACCAGCATTAGTATTTGGAGCTGATAGGGCTAAGGCACTGCTAAATTTAAAGCCATCCGAAGACGTCGTCGACCTTGATTCCGCTTTCTATCATCAGTAAGGTTTTCAAGAAATTCTGAGGCATATTGGCTAAGTTCGGAGTCACTCATCTTTGGGGTGAGGGCGTATTTTTCAACGATTTTTGTTGTAATGGCTGACATGGTCTAATGTTATAGTAGGTTGGGTAGATTATGAACAGTTCTTTAGGTTATATACACCATAAATATTCTTTTTTCAAATCGAAATTAATTATGCTTTTTCCTCCCATGCTCGGAAAAGAGAATATATGGCTATGTATGGGTATATATAACACAAAGTTTGCATAATATTTTTTAACTGAAAATTTTTATATTAACTAGTTTGTAGGAGCAAAAAATTCCCCTTTATCAAAGCTCTTACCTGCAAAATTTACCTTATTTACTCCTCTCACGAAGTGAGGATGCTTTGCATCTATTTTATATGCATATAAACTTACCATAGCATACCATTTGCCTGGAGTATGCTCACTGTTTTTTTCCATTCCTTGTCAGTATCCAGCCATGATGAGGTGATTCCATCTTCCTCGAGAGAACGACAGATTATTTCTTCACTTATTAATCTTTCTCACACCGTCATATCCATATATTCACTGGGATCTTCTTCGGCCTCCTTTGCATAACCACACATTCTCGCATCAGTCTGCATTCTATCACGGAATGCTATGGAATCGAGCTTATCTTTTTTAGTAATGGTAACGAACTTATCTGGATCCTCTCCAAGATTGATAGCTTTCTCACGAAGATGTACCTCTCGTTGCTCCCTGGTTTGATATCCTGGCGGGTATGATATTTGCAAGGAGGGTGAATCGGAGATTCGAGACTCTGTCTCTACTTCGTTACTGGTTTTTGGTTCATTATTTACAGGTAAGTTGGGAGAGATTTCAGGAGATTTAGATTTATCGTCAATAGGTTCTACATATATGATCTTGGGCGGAGATATATCAGTAGAGTTAGATGACGAAGCAACTGAATATTCTGATTGATCTATTATTGAATCGAAGAGATCTTGGGTCATTTTAGTAACTGGTGGGGTTAATGTATTCTTACCTTTTTCGATACGATCGGTATTTGATAAGGTGGCTTCTATTTTTTCTGGTTTGGGGGGTACGATTTCTGGAACATCGAATATAGAGATATCTATGGATATGTTGGTGGATGTTTCGGTTTGAGGTACATCGGAAAATTCTTCTATATCGATACCCTTTTCACGTAGTTTGCTTACAATTTTAGATCGATCGAGAATGTACTGATATACTCTTACTCCACCATCGCATGAACGTGTACGATCAATACCTATTTGTGAGATTTTTTTCCCAAGAACATTACTAGTGGATGGTTTTTCTCTATTACTTCCACACCAAATGAGATAATCTTGATATAAAGTAGCACAGCTTGGTTTATTAATCTGATTCTCAGACCATAGTGAGATATAATCAATTATGAATCGAATAGGGTTGGAAAGGTGACCTCGCATTGTTTCAACTTTCATTTTAGTATTAGGGATATCTTGTGGTATCCAATTTGAAAGATCTCGTTTAAGTAAATAGCTCATAAAATTACTAGGTGTATTAGGATGTTTTAAAATTTTTCCAAGTTGCTTAAAATATCCCATATTACCCTTGCATCGCGAAGACACATCTAAACATACTATACGCCCGTCACCCATTTCAACACGAAGTGGGGCATCATGGTTACTAAGAACCATATATCTAGCAAAATCCTTGATTGTTTTTGGTTCAATCCCCTTACGCTCTATAGTTATATATGGCTCAGTAATAAGAGATTTTAAATGGTCATTAGCCTTTTGCCATTCTCCTGATACCATCCCTGTTTCATTTAAAAGAATAAGCTTTCTAGCTTGGATGCAACTATTGAATCGTCCTAATATTTTTCCGAGATCTGATGATGCAAAGAATAATTCTTGTCCTAAGACTTCCTTACCAATAAAATCAGTTAAGATATTTTTTCCTGAACGAGGGGGGGAACGTAATACTAAAACAGTTCCAGGTTTTTTTTCTGGATATTGTATAAGATAAGCCAACCAGTTAATAACATACTCAGATAAATTTTTATTCTCATTACACCAAACATTTTCTATATGCCAAGTGATCGGATCAATGAGAGCAAAATTTATCTCGACTAATGGCCGAACTTTGAATTCTAGAAACAGATTAAAGAATTTGGTATTCGATAGAGAGGTGTTTGGAGAATATGGCAGAAAATCAATATTACTGTAAAGAATCAGACCTTTTAAAACTGCCCGATTTATTAATGTTTTTAATTCTACTGACTCCCCCCATGTTCAGTTATACTAATTTCGTATTTGGCAAGATCTAGTTTGGATGCCATATCAAAATAAAGACCATTATCTGAATCTTCCATTTTAAACAACCACAGTCTTGAAGTTGTTTGAACGCATGCAACCGTTGCTTGAATTGCTTCATATACCTCTTTGCATGTATATCTTTGTTCGGATACACACATATCCAGCAGGTTCCCCCATACAAAATGATCGTTTGGATTAGAAATTCTGGATTGTTTTAGTTTGGGGGGAATTGAAAGTTTATTTTCTCGATCCTTGGCTGTTTCGTTAATAGTAAGTTTTATCGAAGGTTTTCTTGTTCCAGGATCTCTCTTATCATTTGCACGATAGCAATAGAAGCTATATGATTTCTTATTTCGAATAATGTATACATTGTCGTTCTCATATATGTGATCATTTTGGTCTTTATCTTCCTGTTTATATAATGGACAATTCGAAGGTACTATGCGTTTAAGATAAAAGGAGTTAGGATATTTTTCTGTGGGGTACAATACTTCATATCCTGAAATATTAGCATGTTCCAATAACTCCTTTATTAATTCGAGCTCTGTCTCACTACTTTCTATACTATTATTATATATTCTAATTAACTCTGAGACGGGTATAGAAGAATTTTCTATATTCAATCTTGGAGTGGATGGAGAAGAATTGTTTACATTCGACTTTAAAGTATCTAAAATAGGACTATCTATAACTGGTGCCTCGTCGTTAGGTGGGCGAAGCATAAAATCAAAGACACTTTTATTTTCGGGATATAATGCTCTCTTTACTCGTTCATGCTTATAAGTTTTTTTACCAGTTTTTTCATATTTTATTTCTATCACTTTTGGGCTTCCAAGCATTCGCAAGGAAAATGAACTCTTATTTGCAATATTATCAACAATATCTTTGCTTTGTAAGCTGACTGGGAGTCTATTGCGAACAAGCTCAGTAAATAATGCACAAGCTGTTATATTTTTAAGTCTCATACCGAAAGTTGAGATATGGAGAGATATTTTTTTCGGGTTGCTACTACTGGCAATAGTTAGTGTTTTGCAATTCCAATCTGGATATATTTCTAGACACACTTCTTTAAAGGCACGACAAAGTAAATTCCGTACTTCTTTAACTGTAAGCTTGGGTTTAATTTTATCAAACTTTTCTCTAGATAAATCGAAATCGATAAAGGGACGAAGTGGGTCATCTCCATCGATAATTTCATGTAGTGAATGATCCTGTCGATCTGCAAAGATTTTTTCTATCCCATCCTCAGAATCTGTACCAAGAAATTGTCTCGGCTCTTTACTATCATCTCGGATTTTATATAGATATTCAGCAATACTCTCAGCTTTGGCCCCCCCGGTGGTAGATGGCCCCATTCCCTTCATTCTCATATCCCGGCTCGTATTCTTCCTCTATCTCTGGCTCGAAATGTTCTGAGTTTTCTGGGCTTTCTGG